GGATGGTCTGAACTCCGCCCAGGATGGCCCAGGCCCCGCCCCCAGGTGGTCGGAACCCCGCCCAAGATGGCCCAGGCCCCGCCCCCAGGTGGTCTGAACTCTTCCTCAACTGGCCCTGGCCCCACCCCCAGATGATCTGAACTCCACCCCAGCTGGCCAGGCCCCGCCCTGGATGGTCTGAACTCCGCCCAGGATGGCCCGGGCCCCGCCCCCAGGTGGTCTGAACTCCGCCCAGGATGGCCCAGGCCCCGCCCCAGTTCAGACCACCTGGGGTGGGGCCTGGGCCGTCTGAACTCCACCCCAGCTGGCCAGGTCCCACCCCCAGGTGGTCTGAACTTCACCCAAGACGGCCTAAACACCCCAACCAGTCTAAACTCCACTGCAGATGGTCCAAGCCCTGCCCCAGATGGTCTGAACTCTGCCCCAGCTGGCCCACGCCAGCCCCTAGATGGTCTGAACGCCACCTGCCAGCCTAAACTCCACCCCAACCTATAAATTCCACCCTAGATGGTTCAGGGCCCTCCCAAGATGGTACACAGCCTACCTGGGACAGACGCTCCTGGCTGTGGCTGGTCCAAGCCCTGCCCAGCTGGTCTAAAAACCCCACCCCAGCTAGCCCAGGCCTGGCCCCCCCAAAAAACAAACCTAGGGCCATCCAGTTGATTCTGACTCTAGAGAACCCTAGAGGAGAGAGTAGAACTGCCCCATAGGACTTCCAAAGCTGTAAATCTTTATGGAAGCAGATTGCCTCATCTTTCTGCTACGGAGCTACTGTTGGGTTTGAGCCGCTGACCTTTTTGGTAGCAGGAATGACTTAACCACTGCACCTCTCACTCTTATTTCTGTAGGCCTCGTCACCCCTACCTTTCTGCTCTAGACCTCCAACTTGCCAAACCCCCAGTCGCTGCAGGTCTGCCTCAGGCTCCCCACTTCCCTGCCCTGGGTCCAGCCCCACCTTTCAGGTCCTCCAAGCTCCACCCGCAGGCCACCCCCACCACGTTTTGTGGCCTCTTTGGCTTCTGCCTCTTCAAAAGAGCTCACTGTTCTGCAGTTTCCCAGAGGCGGTGCCCTGGAGTCCATTCTGACTCACAGCGACCCTGTAGGATGAGCAGAACCAACCATAGGGTTTCCAAGGCTGCACTCTTACGGAAGCCGACTGCCACACCCTTCTTGCAGGTTCAAACTGAGGACCATTTGGTTAACGGTCAAGCGCTTTAACCACTGCACAACCAGGGCTCTTCTGTTGTTTCCAACCACTACTCATTTCACATGAAAAGGGTGATACTTCGTCAGCAACTTACTCTGGGTATGCCTCTTGAGTCCCCAAAATCCACTCCCCTGGCATCAAATCTGACCCACAGCGCCCCTAGAGGACAGAGTGGAACTGCCCACAGGGTCCCCAAGGCTGTCAATCTTCACAGAAGCAAAGCTCAAACCACACCCACTGCCTGGAGTCCATTCTGACTCACAGCGCCCCTAGAGGACAGAGTGGAACTGCGCACAGGGTCCCCAAGGCTGTCAATCTTCACAGAAGCAAAGCCCAAACCACACTCACTGCCTGGAGTCCATTCTGACCCACAGCGCCCCTAGAGGACAGAGTGGAACTGTCCCACGGGGTTTTGGGGGCTGTCAGTCTCTAGCGAAGCTGACTGCCACATCTTTCTCCCGCTGGGTGGCTAGTGACTGCCAACCCCCAACCTTCAGTTTTAAGCCGAGTGCTTTAACCACTGCACCACCTGGGCTCCTTTTTTGAGTCTCCCAGTCCTCGCTAATCTAAACCCTAACTCTTGACGTGGACAAGGCCTAGCTTGGCTCCTGTCTCTTGAGTGAGCGCCCCCCCCCAAAAAAAAAACACCTCACAGTGACCCCTCCTTGGGTTTCCAAGGCGGTATCACTATAGAAGTAGATTGCCCAATCTTCCTTCCGAGGAGTGGCTGGTGGGTTTGAACCACCAGCCTTCTGGTTAGCAGTCAAATGCCTCAGGCACTACACCACCAGAGCTCCCTTGAATGAGTCAGACTGCCTCTTTTTGCCCTTGGTGGCTTTGAACTTGCCAGCTCTTGCCCCTTCTGTCCAGCCTCCCCTGCCCAAATCATGGAGCAGACCTAGGCCCCCCAGTCTCCCTGACTAGCCTCTGTTTTTCCACTTCCTAGCCCGGCATGGTCCTCAGGACCGGCCCCTTGTAGGATCCTCGGAGTCTACGGGGTCGCTTCCCCTAAGAAAGGCAGGCTCCCCTCCTCCCGCATTTAAGCCACTTTCTCTCCTGACCCCGCCCTCCAATGCCCTGCCCAGCCCGGCTGCCTGCAGGACCCCTGTTGTGTCCCAAGGCCCCACCCCCTCTCCCAAGCTCCTCCCCTGCTTTGGAACCTAATCGCCCCGCGCTGGTGAAGACGCGCGGGGAACCGTGGGGGTGCTGCGTTTACTCACCCTGAAAACGGCGCCAAGGCTACACCTACGTTGCCCAGAGGGTGGCGATGCGGCTCGGAAAGAGGCTGGGAAGGCCCCGGGCCCCAGGGGGCGCCAGGGGCAGGGTCGCCTTGCAAACACACACACACACACACACACACACACTCTCCCACCTGGGCTACCCCCAGCCCCCTGCCCTCTCTCTCTGCCTCTCACCTGCTGCCACAAACAGGATCCCTGCTCCCAGAATGATGTTCCTCTTGGACTTGTAGACCCGGGAGGCCGCCACGCACACGCCCCCGAGCAGCAGGAGGATGGCGCTGAGAATGGGGAAGATGCTGGAGGCTCGGACGACTCCTGCGGGGACGGGAGACAGGGCGCCGGTGCGCTCCAGCGCTGCGCCCGCGACGCGCCCAGGTCCCCCCCCCCCTCTCTCTAGCCGCAGCTCTCCTTCTCCCGCCCTGGTTCGGTTCTGGTTTTTGTCTGCACCTTTCCCTCTCCAACACCACCACCCATTCTCCCTCCTCTTTGAAAAATTTCTGTTTCCCAGTCTGATTCCCTGCCCCGTTTCTCACTTCCTCACTCCCTCCTTCTGTGCTCAGCCTGAAGCATGCTGTTTTCCCTTCTCTGCTCGGTTTTCTCTTCTCTCGCTGCCTCCTCTCTCCCCATACATGTAAGTTCTCCCCTCCTTATCTCGTTGGTCTGGCTGTCTCTCTTCTTGCCCCAAATTCTGCCAGGCTTTTTCTAGTTCTTTTTTTCTCTCTCTCCATATATATATTATATATATTGTCATTCATTTTAGCCTTCTATCCCTTGTTCCTTTTCTGCTTTGTTTTTCTAATTGTGTTCACACACACACACACATATTCTATTCCTCTATCTTCCTATCTCTTCCTCTCTCAGACTCCCTCCCTCCTCACCCCCTCTGCAGTCCTTTCCATCCACCTCCAAAACCCCAGGCAACCAGGTTTTGTCATTTTGGAATCCAGCTAAGACCTCAGCCAATCAAGATTCAGGATTTGCCGCGTTCCCGCGGCAGCTTCCAATCACAGCGCAGGCTCCCCTGGCCAGCTCCTGCGAGTGGCCACTCCCCGCCGCAGATTGCACCGCCCCCCCCCCCGCGGCCCCAGGGCGCAGCTGCAAATCGCAGCCCCCCAAGGCAGCCAATCACAACCCAGAGTTACCGCGCACACCAAAGGGAGAGGGTGGCCAATCAATACCTAGGATCCCCCCTCAGCCCGCCCAAAGGTGAGAGGAGGGGGCGGGAGGGGGACTCCTGAGCCAATCGGGAAGCAGAGGATCTCAATGTCTGCACTTGGATTGGCTGCTAGGCTAAACTCGGTGTGTCGATCCAAGTGCCAGTCCCCAGCCCCCTCTCTGGGCGCCATCCCCTGTTCTTGTTTCCCGAGACCCCTGGTCCCCCGGGACCCCACACATACGGAGCAGATACTCCGCGCTGTCATGGTCGTAGTCCGTGTCCTCCGGGAAGTGGTTGATCTTCACACAGATGCCTCTTTTCAACCCTGGAGTGGGGATGGGGGTCAGGGGGAGGAGCTTCAGAGTGGGAGGTGGGACAGTCCCGCGAGAGAACAGACCTTCCCTTCCCCAAACCCCATCTCCCTCTGGGCGGAGTGGGAGACCGCAGGTCCTGGCACCTGGTCCAGAGATTTGGGGCAAACGCTCACCCTCTCTGGTCTGTTTAGCACCTGGTGGGCGAAAACGGTTAAGCATTGGGCTACGAATGGGAAGGTTGGAGGTTCTAATCCAACCAGAAGCACCTGGGAACAAAAGCCTGATGACCTCCACTTCTGAACGTTTGCAGCCTTGGAAACCCTCTGGAACCCCTGTGCTCACGGGAGGTGTACTGTCCTCAGTCCTGGGCATCAATCAAACCATTACCGTCCATCAGTTCCTGCTCATAGCGACCCCACACGTTGCAGAGTAAACCACTCCATGGGGTTTTTAAGGCTGGGATCTGACTGCTAACCAGAAGGCTGACGGTTCAAACCCACCAGCCACTCCTCAGAAGGAAGGTTGGGCAATCTACTTCCGTAGTGATACTGCCTCGAAAACCCAAGGAGGGGTCACTACGAGTGGGATCTGACTTGCCGGAAGTGAGTTTGGTTTGGTTTTGGTTTTACTTTCTGGAAGCAGAATATCACACCTTTCTTCCAAGAGGTCTCTGGGTGAGTTCAGCCATCAGCCTCTGGTTAGTAGCCAAAGGCATTATCCAACAAGACCAGAAAATCAACCCACTTTGGTGGAGTCCATTCCGACTCACAGCGCCCCTAGAGGACAGAGTGGAACTGCACCACAGGGTCTCCAAGGCTGTCATCTTTATGGAAGCTGACTGCCATGTCTTTCTTCCACAGAACAGCTGGTGGATTTGAACTGCCAGCCTTTCAGCTAGTAGTCAAACACTTGACGGTGTATCCCACCCAGGGCACTCCTAATCCTGGGCACAGGGGCAGGGACTCCTGATCTCTTTCGCTTTGCACCTGGAACCCTCTAGAGGAAGGTGGAGTGGCCGGAGCTTAAAGAGGCCCTTCCCAGGCTGACATCTGTCTCTAGGAGTCACGCAGTCTCGCTTCCCTCTTCCAGCTCCTACTCCCCTTCTCCTGACACTCAGGTTCCCCGCACACCCGCCAGCCTTTGGCTTGTGCTGTGGGCCACCCTGCTGGCATTTTGCACAGAGGGAGCACTTACCGTTCAGCACACAGCTCGGGGGCAGCTGTGGTAGGAAGCGTTCGGATCACACACAGAGATCACATATACACACACTCACACAGGCGCACACTCTCTCTCCCCCCCCCCCCCCTTTCTCCTTCCTGGTTGAACAGTCCCCTGTGCTGACCCCTTTCTGACATGCCTTGGGTTTTAGGATCTTTTGCCTGTCTGCTGAGCCGGAAGTTCCTGGAACTGAGGCTGGCACAGGGTCAGGGTCCTCTCTGAGTCCCTAACGTCGCGTGGCACTAGATCTGGCAAACCGGAAGCCTCAAGAAATGGGTGTTGAGTGAATGAATGGAAAGCAGCAAGGAAGGGAAGTATGATGCACTGTAAGAGCAGAGGGGAGATGAGGCCGATGTGACAGGCAGGGGGAGGCGGGAAAAGGAATGCGGAGGAAGGGAAGGTCGGGGAGAGAGTGCACCCGCAAAGAGCATTGCCCTGGCGGGCGCTAATCAACAGGCCAGAGGTCTGAGTCCACTCGGAGGCACCTCCGAAGTAATGACGGGTGATCTACAGCCAAAACCAGCACCACTGTGAGCCTGATAGGGCCCAGAGCTGCGGTGACACCCACGGGCCACCCCGTCAGGGTCGGATCCCAGGGGCTGCCGGTGGAGGAGGCACCCAGCTGCTAATCCAAAGGTCGGCAGTTCAGGTCCAACCCGGAGGTGCCTCAGAAGAAAGCCATTGGGACCCGTGGAGCACACGGGGTGCCGTGGGCTCGAGCCGACGGCCACTAGTTCTGTTTAACTTTTCATCGTGATGTCGGTGAAATTTGCAGAGCAGAGGGGTTTTCCCTTCAGTAACTCACAGGCATTTTGTTTCGTGCCATGGGTTGCAATCCCCACAGCCTACCACCACGCTTCCCACTTCCTGGCTACTGTTTCGTCCTTCTTTCCTGGCCTGGGCAGAGGCTGCCTTTGTCGTCCCCTGCGATCGATTATTCCAAGGAGTACCCACCTCCCTGGGCTCACTGTCCACTTTACAGGCCTCGTTTGGCTGCAAGCTGAGCCCCTCGGGGTGAGTTGAAGGCTGTCGTGTGAAGGCTGTCGCAGGGCCGTGGTCTCAGGCGTTGCGCCCGTCTCTGTCAGACCAGTGTGCCTGCTCTTCCTCATGAGTTTGAGTTTTGTGCCACAGTTTTCTCCCCGTCTATTACTAGCTTGGTTTCTTAAATACCACAAAGAACCGGCCTTTGGGACCTGCTTGCTGGGCAGATGAACTCATTTATATGCTCAAGAGACCTGTGAGGCAGAAACTCCTGTCAGCGCCTTTCAGTGGCCACATTCCTGGGCGCCGGAGTCACACTGCCTGGTAGGAAGTTGGCCCACTGCTTCCTGACCCCCTGGCCATGTTGGCGTCACTGATCAACTTGCCTCAGTTCCTCCATCTACAAACTAGGTGCCCTTCAGTCAGCTCCAATCCGTGGCAACGAGTCAGGATAGACGTGCGCTCTGTAGGGCCGCTGGTTCTTAAAAAAAGGTAATGTTTTATGGATGCTTTTGGTGTAGATTTACACAGCAAACGAGGTTCCCGCTTGATAATTTCCATGCAGACTCTTCAGTGAATTGGTTCTAGTTTTCACAGGGAGTCAACATTCTCTTCAATGCCTTCTGGTTGCTCCATTTCTAGAACTGGGGACTCCTTGGTCCTTAGCCTTCCCATCTTGGCTTTGGAGGAATTGTTGACCTTTCGATCCGCAGGTTTTTAAAGTCTGATTGTTCGGGAAGGAGGTTATGGGGCTTTCTTCCGAGTCCTCGGGGTAGACTCGGACCTGCAGCCTCTCAGTGAGAAGCAAAGAGTGTTGACTGTTGGCGCCGCCCACGGACCCCGCAGTGGACCCCCACGGACCGCCCCGCGGACCCCATCATCTGTGATAGGACCTGCCTCACTGGGTTGTTGTGAGGATCAAATCCAGATTTAGGGACGGTCCCCTCAGCTTCCGAGAAGAGATGGAGCATTCACAGCTCCCGGGAAGGGCTGGTCCACTCAGCTCCCAGGAAAGAATGGTCCACTTGGCTCACGGGATGGGATGGTCCATTCACAGTTCCCGGGAAAGGATGGTCCACTCAGCTCATGGGAAGGGGTGGTCCACTCACAGCTCCCAGGAAGGGGTGGTCCACTCACAGCTCCCAGGAAAGAATGGTCCACTTGGC